AAGATATTTAGTAAATTTCCTACCGTAAATATATCAAAACTTAATTTTTGATTAGTAATATGCATTGCTAAGAACTTCATTTGGACAACTTTAAAGGAGATTTTCTCAATATTTTGATTTTTTTGCACCCTCAGATTCCAGATTTTCAAATAGTTGTATCTCAGACAAATATTGAATACTATCCTAACAAACCATACATCAATGGAAAGCTTATTTATTCAGCTTTCAGATGATGCATACATCTCAATTTCACAAAATTGACCCTTATGACTGGTTTGGTGGTCCAGGGTCACATTTCAGGCCAACTTCAATGACCTGCCCAGGTTTTAAACACATTTTAAACACATATTTTTAATAGCTTCCCTATTCAAACAGCAACTAACCAGGGCTGAGTTGCATGAAAGCATTGTTGCTTTCAGTATGGCTATAAAAGTCACGCAAAATGATCTTCAAGACCCTCATAAAACAAAAATGACATAACACGGACAGCACACGGACCACTGCAGAACGCGGACGAACGAAGTATAGTTTGAGCTTAAGCAGATCCTAGATAGCACTGGTCCCAATGGTTTCTATGATCTACTCGGGCTCGAGATGTTTTTGGGAAATGCAGCCTATGGCTGTTATGGGTGGAATTTGAGCTTAATCAAAAAACTAAGTTTTTTTTTAGGGCTGCACGATTAAGTGAAATAAAACCGTTATCGTGAAATGGCTTACTGCGATTATCAAATCTAGAAGACTATGATTTAATTAAACAAATATGAACTACTCCCTGCGGTTTTTCAACAAAATAAAAACAAATAATTTCAATGGTTTGAAAATGTTGAAAAACTAAAATTATAACAATCATAAATATTAGTATTGTAATTTTACAGTCCATATGTAAAATAACTTCATTGTTAAATTATTTCTTAACTAGTAGAAGATATTTTGAAGAACCAAACAGTTGACGGTAGCCACAGAGCTTAGTATTTTTTGTTTGGAAGTCAATGGCTACCAACTGTCTGGTTACCCACATTATTCAAATTATCTTCTTCTGTCTATAGAAAATAAGAATCCAAGGCACTTCTTCCGGTTCCAAAATATTAAAAAGGCCTTTTAATATTTTGGAACCGGAAGAAGTGCCTTGGATTCTTATTTTCTATAGAAACAAGTTTGAACCCAACTAAAGAGCACCTTCTGGGATTATTAAACGAGTTCCTTTCAGCAAGTAGCGCTCCAAGATGTTTTCCTTGACCTTCTTCTGTGTTGACAGAATTCTCATTTAATATTACTTAAAAGCTTCCTTAAAAACGAACCACTCTTAATATGATGTGCCATTCTGAGAATTGCACTTTACTCATCTTCCCAATACATGATTAACCCTGAGCTGAGCATGAAAGGCACTGATTTCTTGTGTTACTAAACTGTGAGGAATCTGCTGTTGTTCCAAAATATTAAAAGGCCTTTTTAATATTTTGGAACCGGAAGAAGTGCCTTGGATTCTTATTTTCTATAGAAACAAGTTTGAACCCAACCAAAGAGCACCTTCTGGGATTATTAAACGAGTTCCTTTCAGCAAGTAGCGCGCCAAGATGTTTTCCTTGACCTTCTTCTGTGTTGACAGAATTCTCATTTAATATTACTTAAAAGCTTCCTTAAAAACGAACCACTCTTAATATGATGTGCCATTCTGAGAATTGCACTTTACTCATCTTCCCAATACATGATTAACCCTGAGCTGAGCATGAAAGGCACTGATTTCTTGTGTTACTAAACTGTGAGGAATCTGCTGTTTCCACGAGTCATCAACAACCTGTAAGGAAGTGAAACTACTTGAGACTAGCCTCTCTAGTCCAAATCGATGAAGGTTTAATACCAGCTGAATGATCTACTGTGACTGGGTTTAATTCAGAACGTACTGGTGAAACGACAACAAGAGTACTCTTTCCAATTCAAGGAGAACAAGTCAGATAGGACACGCAACACAAGGCGTGTCTGAGAGTCATCCGACGTGTTCTGTAGCTGACGGCTCAAATGAAAAGCAGTCTCGCTAGATTTGCAAATGGGAAGTTTTGGTTCCTTATCATCAAGGCCGGATCAAATACTGAGACTAAAAGAGATTCTAGTCACTTGTCACTTTAACTAGTCTTGGCCTACCGATAAAGGTTTCATGAAATGCTCTTGATATTTACACATCTAAGAGGTTACTCTACAATAAAAGACACACTGCAAGTTTCAGAACTCAAAAGTAACTCCTCAGTTTAAAATATGAATTACTCTTTTCTAACTTTCTAAAATTCCCAGATTTGAAATCAGGAGAATAGTGACGGATATAAAGAAACGGCACCATATCAACCCTTCACACAATGTGTCGCTACTAGTGTTTTACTGTCGTCATCTTTTAAGAAACATGTTAATAGTTCTGTTTATGTTGCTTTGCATTGCAAATGATTGTGTTGTTTCAATCTCTTCTGCCTCCGGCTCAAACATATAAGGCTCTTTCACAGCGCTTGCCATCTCGAGCATTAAAACACATACAATGAGTACAGTGCAATGAAGTTAGCCAGTCACAGCAATGTGCATTTACTTCTGTTTACTCCCCTTGAAATCGGCTGTTTTTCACAGAGAGTGAAATTATATATATATATATATTTTTTTTTTTTTCAAATATTGGACCTTTTTTGGTGCAAAAAACTGCCAACTTTATAAACTAACCCCCAGAAACAGAATACAAAAATCTGAAACTGCATTTGATGATCCCTTTAACCTCAGCCTGAGAAACAAAACAGCAAAGCACTGTGTTTAACAAATGATGTGTGTGTGTGTTTTAGCGAAGTTTATTCAGTAAACATCAAGAAACGAGGCCTAACATCTTCCAGCTATAATTCTGCTACTGTAAACTTTCAGTCTGCTGTCAAGAGATCCACATCAACAACACTGGTTACTGTCACTAGCCAATTACTGAGTGCACTTAGTCAATTAACAACAGGAGTATTTCATTATTCTAGATGTTCTCCACAAACATAGAAACTGACATTTTTGTTTACAAAATGAAAGGCAAAGAATAGGTACGCTTTACGAATTTTAACGCCAAACCCTGGATAATTACAGGGAATAGTAAAACAAATCTGAAGTCATATTCCCTAGCAAACGTTATTGCTATGTATCAACAACATACAATTACAACGTATTTACAACTTCCTAAGCCCATTTCTACCGCCAATTCTTAACTGACATCCCCGACTGTATTTCTCATCCCTACAGTATTTCTAAAAACCCAAATTAGATCCCAAACGTAGAAAATATTCAAATGTTACCATGGCAAGGAATCAGTTGTAAAAGTAGCTGAGAGGTCTGTAACGTTAGTTGTTTACTCACTGCACAAGCGGCTGCCTGCTAGCGCTAGCTGCTAATCACTCGTATCCAGCTGATGTCTCCCACTCGCGTCTGATTCCGCTGAAAACGGTGTGACACGGCGCTTTTCCTCCCGAAAATGCTTTCAGCTCATGGATCCGTGTCGGTTTCTCGAGGAGCTTGTCCGATTCAACCCTTGGTGGAACTACGATCACACGTTTGTTTACAATCCCGCAAGGCCAACGGGAAGTGCGAGAGCTGCAATTATCGCGATACAGATGAGCGAGATTCCCGCAGGCTCGCGGATCCACCTGGAGATTCACGAGGGAATTGCAAGAGCTGATGGAAATACCAAATGTAACAAAATAAAATAATCAGGCAAATATACAAATTAACTAAATTATATATATATATATATATATATATACCCTATAACACTTGCATTCTCTATTCTAATTCTTTTCTTACTATTTTTATTTATTATAAAAATGACCCTCTAGCATTCTGTTCTTTTTCTATTCTTTTGACTTTTATTTTTATTATTAAAAAAAGAAGAGCCTCTAACATTAGCATTCTCTGTTCTTTTTCTATTCTACTTGTTTTATTTTTATTTATTTCTACGTGTACTGCATTAAGCTAACTGAGACTTGTCACAGCACTTCAATATCATCGCTCTTTTGTTAGTTTTGATTGCTTCTATTGTCCTCATCTGTAAGTCACTTTGGATAAAAGCGTCTGCTAAATGACTAAATGTAATGTAAATGTTTAAAGGGGTCATATGATGCGATTTCAAGTTGTCCTTTCTCTTTGGAGTGTTACAAGCTGTTCGTGCATAAAGAACATCTGTAAAGTTGCAAAGACTAAAGTCTCAAATCCAAAGAGATTTTGTAGAAAACGAAGTGTTTGAGAGAGGCCGGGCATAGAGGACCTACAATAATGTACAGTATTTGAAAAATAATGTTTTTTGAACATTAAAGCATGTCAACATATTCTGTTACACCAAATACACAAAATAATGATCTTTAAAAAAGCATCATATGACCCCTTTAAAAAATACTAAAATTATTTTTTTATAAATACTGTATTTGAAGTTGATAATGCTAATGCAATATTAAGTAAAATAAACGAAAAAATGACAATAAATCTAAAATAAGAGTTGGGATTAAACATTTTTATGTTTAGAACAAGTTGATAGAAATGTTAAGAAAAATACATGTAAAAATAAATATAGAAAATAAATTGTAACAAATAGAACAAAAATTCGGTAACACTTTTTTTTAAGGTGTCCTTGTTACACGTTACATGCGCTTACTATTATAATAACAATTAATTATGCATAATTACATGCAAGTAACCCTAATCCTAACCATATAGTAAGTACATGTAGTTAATTAATATTACTCAGTACTGAAATGTACAAAGACACCTTAAAATAAAGTGTAACCAAAAATTCTATGACACTATGATATTTATGACAATTTTATTTGCCCAATTTGTCTTCCAAAAGTCCTGTGAAACAAGTCAAATGAGGGTAAAGAACTGCATCAATCACTAAAGAGACTGTAAATATGGTTTGCTTTCAGCACAACTGATTCTGAATCTTTATTTCAAAACAATTGTTGATGTTTCTGTCACTATAATAGGCTAAAACACCATCTAACATCATGTTTGATTCATCTAGTCCATATAAACAATGCTTCAATGCACAAACACAATGCTTCACGACCCAGAATGAAGACTAGCCAGTGTAAATGGACAAAATATGTAGGTAAGATGATATACATAATGCTTATTAGAACTCAAAAACAAACTGCACACAATACAACACCTGTACATAAAAGGACAAGCAGCACAGAAAAATTGTCCTCAACCAAATGTATTTAAAACAGAGCAAATAAACGGTAACAAGAAACAACTACTAGTTTAAGGACATACGGTTTCATGACGTAAAATGAACATGGAGTCATGCATACCAGTTATGTCAAGGCAATAAATATGAAATATGGAAATGCAAACGAAAACTAATCGTGGCTTAACTTTAAAAAGAGCTGTTAGAAGATCATCATGCCAAAATACAAAGGACTTTGCAACATTAAACACCACATGTTTCGGTTTATTCTAAAAACACATGAACATACTGCAGCAGTTCTGCACTGCCTTCATAAACCCTGCTGTTCATGTAAAACCTTGTTATAGGATTCAATCATAACAACTGCTTTCACACACTGCTGCCGCTGCCAGCGCCTTTCTACTAGTTTAAGGACATACGGTTTCATGACGTAAAATGAACATGGAGTCATGCATACCACAGTTATGTCAAGGCAATAAATATGAAATATGGAAATGCAAACGAAAACTAATCGTGGCTTAACTTTAAAAAGAGCTGTTAGAATATCATCATGCCAAAATACAAAGGACTTTGCAACATTAAACACCACATGTTTCGGTTTATTCTAAAAACACATGAACATACTGCAGCAGTTCTGCACTGCCTTCATAAACCCTGCTGTTCATGTAAAACCTTGTTATAGGATTCAATCATAACAACTGCTTTCACACACTGCTGCCGCTGCCAGCGCCTTTCTTCTGCCGTTTCTTGGCTCTGATCTCGTTCATGGCTTCCTCGATGGAGCGAGTGTCTCTCTTATTGGCCACAGGGACTGTAACAACGAGACGACACACACACGATCAAAACAAATCAAGGACAGCAATCACTCTGGGCTTCTGTATAGTTCCACAAAAGCAAGTCTGAATGAGAAATTAAAAATTTAGATTTACTCTTTTTAAAATGTACACCTGGTATTAAGATCAGTTTTATCAGTCTCGTGTTTGTACCTGCATCTCGAATGTGTCTTTACAGGATTGTAAGGGTTTTACACCACTTACTACTAGCACTGTGGTACTGCGTGATGAAAAACCACCAGAATGAGAAGCGTGAAAAAGCTCTCCGGTTCCTATAGGGTTCCATTTAAATATAGAATTTTAAATGAAGCACAAATGTTTTGAGCAGAATTTTCCGTGTCACTGCATGCTGACCTCATGCATGTTCCTCATTCATGCATATGTACTTTTCTGACACAAATCTGAATTTTTTCCCCCTCTCATGTGACTAAATAAAACCTAAATAAATAAAGAATAAAATAAAAAATATCACAGGGAATCAGAATTAAATAAATGGAATAAGATACAGAATTAATGCTGCTTTACAATTATTAATTTACAATCTCACGTTCATGTTAGAACTGTAAGATTCATCGCTAGATGTTAATTCTTTTGAATAAAATTAAGTCCTGCCTTTTATCTCTCTGATAATTCTGGCTCAAGAATGTGATTGGACGTGCTCTAAACAGCTGTAAAAATTATTTTCTGTAACTGCACATCAATCACATTAATATACTGCTTGTCAATGAAAAATAGCTCACAGTTTTGATAATGACCTACAGCCTATTAGTGGAAGAAATCTTCATGATCTGTTAAAAATATATATTTACCAAACACTGCTGTTGTCTTATTTTGCCATGTTTTATGCTTTCATATACCTAACACACTTTAGCTGTGGTAAAGTGTTATTTATGTACTATTACAGCATTTATTAATATTTTGAATTATCTTTTATTTTTATTTTTCAGTCCAGTTTTTAATGTAATTTTATTTTTAGTAATCTTGTTTTTCAAAAAAAAAAAAATTCTATTTAGCTTTACTAAAATTACTAAAACTGAAATAAAAATAATTTACTTAAACTTATATAAGGTAATATTTATATGTATTTCAGATTTTTTTTCAATTAACAAAAATGAATGATTTTTAATAGTTTTAGTTAACAATAACAACACTGCTGTGGTAAAATCACTATAAAACGAAGAGCCATAAGCTGCGTCTCGTTTCGTAGGCTGTGTCCTCTGGAGGTCGTCATTGAGTTGGTCTCATATGTGACCTTGGAGCACAAAAGCAGTGTTAAGTCGCTGGGGTATATTTGTAGCAATAACCAACAATACATTGTATGGGTCAAAATTATACATTTTTCTTTTATGCCAAAAATCATTAGGATATTAAGTAAAGATCATGTTCCATGAAGATATTTTGCAAATTTCCTACCGTAAATATATCAAAACTTAATTTTTGATTAGTAATACGCATTGCTAAGAACTTCATTTGAACAACTTTAAAGATGATTTTCTCAATATTTTGATTTTTTTGCACCCTCAGATTCCAGATTTTCAAATAGTTGCATCTCTGCCAAATATTGTCCTATCCTAACAAACCATACATCAATGGAAAGCTCATTTATTCATCTTTCAGATGATGCATAAATCTCAATTTTGAAAAATTGACACTTATGACTGGTTTTGTGCTCCAGGGTCACATTTAAGAAAAGTAACCAATAGATCGGGCGACTCCAGTTTGAGTCATAACTTCTTGTCTGTTCTGTCCAGTTTCTTTAATTATACTCACCGCAGCCATACGATTGGTTGGCTTGAAGCGTGTGGGCGGCGTCTTTAGCAGCAGATGTTCCAATCAGATGGCTGTATTTGTCTCTGTAGTTTGAATTAGGCGACGCAGGCCTCTTCTGAGAGCGACTGGCCTCTTCCATCTCCAGTGCAGCCCGTTCCTGAAGAAGATGCGGTAAACAATTACCCAACTTCAACATGCTGTTCCAAGCAGTCAGATAAAAGATCAACAATTAGACAGACATAAACTAACAACAATAACAAGATTATGAACTGACTCTCTCTTTTGAGCCGGTTCTTGCACAGTCTTCAGGAGGATCTCACCTTTCGCCGTCGTCTCTCCTCAGCTTTCCGCGGGTCCCACTCCTCACCTTTCCGATAAGCCTCCAGTTCCTCATCCGAGGGTGCAAACTCCTCCATAACCAAACACACACACAACCAAACACACTAAACATTAATGCAGAGAACTCCACAGGCCAGAGGAGAACCGGTCCAAGCTTTCTCTCCACTTCTGTCACCTGACTGAGTCGGGGTATAAAAGAGCACTGAAACTTGGCATCATCATCTATTTGTCTGCACTGACACTATCGAATAAGACCAAACGTTGAACTGCATTGAGCTGAATAACAACTCTACTGTCTTCTGTAGAGCTGCTTTACAACTGAAATTGAAGTTGTTTCATATTTGATGAACTCTGCATAATTAACACCAGTTTATTAAAATATTAATGCTGATTTATGCTTCACGTTGTACCTAAAATTTGAGCTATTTTAGTATTATTTAATCCAAAATAAAAGTTTTGGTTGACATAATATATGTATGTGTACTGTGTTTATTTATTATGTATATATAAATATTTTGAAAATATTTACATGTATATACATTTATATTATTATATTTTATATAAATATATAAACATAACATATTTTTCTTAAATATATACATGCATGTGTTTGTATTTATATATACATAATAAATATACACAGTACACACTTATATTTTATGTAAACAAAAACTTAAATTTTGGATGCGACTAATCGTTTGACAGCACTAATATATACTATTAGAGTGTTTATTAATTGTCTGAATAAGCTTTGTTTTTCATTTTAATTTTAGCAATTTTATGTGACTGTCGTTTTTTTTATTTTGTTTCTATTTAGCTTTAATTAATTTTTATTTCAGTGTTAGTAAACATTTTTTGTACTTCAGCGTAAACTTATTTTATTTAATTTAGCTGCCAAGGCAACGTTT